CTTCTGGAAGCTAGCGTGATACGTTAATCCTGAGTATATGCTTTTGGCTGTGTATTGACCCTGTGGATTTGTCTCTCCAAGAAAAGAAGCTGAGCGCCTTACCCGGTGCAGTCCTGCACCTCTCTCCCTGTCCCGAGCTGTCTGGAAGGGAATTCACACTGTTTAGCATCCTCCTTGACACACATCTCGTATTGCCGCTGCCGCCACCACCACCACTGCTGCCACCACCGCTGCCAACCACCCCTCCCCAACCTTTCTAGGAGTGAAGACACGGAGTCCCTACCAATTGTCCCACTGGAGGGAACAAAGAAAGCCAATATTTCTCCTGTATAGATTGATTCTCGTCTGCCTCTCCATATCTCCCTTTTTCCCACACCCTGTCGCCTTGCATTTGCCTCTCTTTCATTGCTGTGTGAGAGGTTCATGTGAAATCTCTCAATCCTCTGTGAGTTTTATAAAGACGTACACTGTGCTGAACCCCTGCCCATCTGTAGTAACCCCTAGCACAATAAGCCCTCCTGAGTGGCCGGTTCTCCCCACAGGAGGAGGGATACTCCTTCTGCAGAAGCCACCGCCCCCTCCTTGCTTCTCCTCCTACAGGACCAAGTTGTTTAATGGGCCAGAGATGCAGCCAGTGGGGAACCCTTTCCCCCAGACCACTGCCAGCAGGCGTGCTCACGTGGTCTTCCTCTTCTTCCAACTTCTTGATCCTACACTTCTGCCACTCAAGACCCCGCCTGTGTCATTCCATCGCCATCATTCACCTCTCCCTCAGTCTCATGGAGGGAAACATTTTCTAATGTCTGTATATAGTATATATACTACATAAATATATAAATTATATATACACTAATTTATGTCTTGTTTTTCAAACAAGAATGATTAAATTTATTCATCTTACTATCCCATTAAGTCTTTGCAGTGCCTCTCTGAGTGTCCTTGTGTCCTTGAATTGTTGGTTGGTGGCAGGCCTTTGAGTGCTCCTCCTGTGCCTCTGCTCCTGGGGACCCAGGCTCTGGTGAGTGATGAGAGCTGACCCCCCTGCTCCTCCTATCACCCTAACACACTGGGGATCCCCTTTGCTTCTCTTGGAACCATCCTGTTTGTCACAAGTACTGGCTATTGCCTTACCCCTTCTCGACTGCAGGACCTCTAGCTCACCTGACCACCATGGCTGTGACCTGAGAGCTAAAAGGTTGGAAAAACACAATGTGCTTCCTGCCTAGTGCACCCGATGGAGACAAAGATATATGCCAGCCCTCTCTGGCATTGGGATTGGGATTGGGAAAATAAAATGTGCCGGCACCCTGATGTTTAGGCTAGCAAATCCCATGCAACAGCCTCTGGCAGTTTTATGGTGGGGGTGGGTAATGATTTAAATACGGATCTGAAGGGAGGCCACCCCATCTTTTCAGAGAACTTAATGGTAGAAGTTCTTTCTTTCTCCTGTTCTCTTCATTCCTTCCGGTAATCACAGGTCTGTAGCAGCCCAGCCTGAGTCATCCTTGTACACATTAGAGAAAGTTCTCCCAGTGCCCCTCTCCCATTGATGAATTAGCAGGGGGGGGAACTCTCTGGGAAATGTAGCCCTGAAGCCAAATGGCTTGGTAATTTCAGCTCTCTTCAGCCCCATTTGCCTCCTTGGCTGGGTACACAAACTACACAATCATATACAATGACCCTGATGAGTCATTTTTTCCCAAAGACTGATTTTTGTTATGTCTGCAAAGGTCCTGGATAAAGAGGTTTGGAAAGAGTATTGAGAGGAAGCAGAAGCAGCCAGGTCTGTTCTGCAGGTCTCCCAATGCCAAACTTGATGTGACAGCCTAGGACTGAGGCCAGAGCTCTTCTGAAGGCTGCCTGCCAGAGCCCTGTCCCATGGCACCAAAGTTGAGATTCAAGGGAAGTCAGTGTTGGTGTAAATTGAAGCATGCTGACACTCAAAATGACCCAATGAACAGTCCAAAAACTTGGGTCCCCTATGGCCTTGTTCTAAGGACACCAGCAGCCCCTTGAGATCAGAAAGTGTTTTCTGGGTTTTTTTTTTTTTCTTTTTGTACCAAGGATGGAATTTAGGACCTTGCACTTGCCAGGCAGGCATGGCACCACTGAGTTAAATCCCCAGCCCAGGAAGTGTTTCCATTCAATTCTGTGTCCTGGGTACCCACCCACACAGTACCTGGCACATAGTAGGTCTTCAAAGTAATGTTTGCTGAGTGAATGAGTGTGGAATGAGATAACTGTCATGAGAGCCCTCTCAGACTTCCGTACCATGTGACAAGAACCCTTCACCTCTGGGAATGGTTCATCCACGCTAGTGCAATTTTACATGGCTGGGCAGCAGGGCATCCTCCTATCAAAGGAGAAGCCAGGGCTATCATTCAGTGCACTTCCCCAACCCAGGTCATTTTCACCAAATTTCCCAAAGGCTCTGAAACTCTCCTGAGTGAGCTGTTGGTTTCCTGTTCTTTGCATCCACAACCATCCTTTGTAGTACTGGAGGCATGGTGGGAGGCCACCGGTATCTTCCTTGACATCTTTGGCCTGAGCTAGAGCCTAAAGCTAGTGCTTTCCAGCCACCTTTATGCAAGTACCCCGGAGCCAGACTCCTGCCTTGCTGACTTCAGCCAATTCAAGGAAAAGGGGTTCTGACTATTGTGGCGCTGGCACAGTCACAGTTTTTCAAGCTGTTGTCAAAGCACTGTGGATAATAGGCAATTTCATCAGCAATGAATTGAAAAGACCTGCCTCAGCCAGAATTTTTGCTGCCAGAGGGCCAGGGGATGATCAATTGCCAGTACCAGGAAGGGGCATAAATTTACGTCTTAGGCTCAAATTCCTCTACACAGCCAATAGAATGGAAATAATAACCATGTCCCATTCCTTATCCTGCAGCCTGCAAGCCAGACGTGGGTATGCATCTGGAGCAAGCAGGAAGTCCTTCATGAAGTGGGAGGAAATGATCTTTGAGGGTTCAATCCTGGGCCTTAGCAAAATGTCTTGGATTCCAGGGGCGTGTCTTGAGCCCAATGCTCTGACTTGCTCCAAGCCTCTGTTAGGTGAGAATGATTTTTTTTTTTTGCGGGGGTACCGGGGATCGAACTCGGGTCCTTACACTTGCAAGGCAGGTGGCAGAACCACTGAACTAAATACCCAGCCCAAATGTCTTCAACTGAGTTCTCTTTTTGTTTTTGGCACCGGGAATCGAACTCAGGTCCTTCTGCTTTCGAGGCAGGTGGTGGCACCACTGAGCTAAATCCCTGGCCCTCTTAGGTGAGAATGATGAAGACATGCCTTCTCATAGGTACAGAACTGCTTGTTTCACATCAGTGACTCCCTCCCCCAAGTGCTGACACATCCACACACCCAGGCCTTGGGTGGCATCCACATCCCAGCATTGCAAGGACATGTTTCAATGCTGTCACTAACGTTTTCAGCTGCTGGTGATGGATCTACCACTTTGGAATGAGCTCAGTTAGAGCTTTCCTTCTCTCTTGTCTGTGATGCTCCGGGTATCATGTCCTCATTCTTATTTTCAAGGCTTTGGCTAAAAGGAACATGTATTTGAACTATGTTGAAATCCTTCCACAACACAAAAATTGATCCCTGCCCTTAAGTAAGCAAACCAATTGTGTATGAGCACTTGCTCTGCTAATTATCTTGCATGTTTGATCACATTTAATCATCACAGCATTCCTCTGAAAGAGGTACTGTTATCTCCATTTCTCAGAGGAGGAAACTGAAGCCCAGAGAGGCTGTCACTCACCCAAGGTCACACAACTGGTAAGTGGCAAGTAAGCCAGTCAGTTTCCAAAACCAGCCAAGGCTTTCAACTGCTACCCTTATAGTATGTAGCCCAGCCCCACCTCTGAAGGCCTTCCCCTAAAAACAGAGGCATGGACACAACCACTCTCATCAGAAGGCCTGTAATTGTCTCTTGGGATCCAAACAGCCTGTGGGTAGCAGGTGGTGGGTAACAATGGAGCATGAAATGCAGCATACTACAAGCCCACCTGCTCCTTGGCCTCTCTTTGCTGGTCTGCCCTTCTGCCTTGGGCCAGTTTATGTGCATGCCCCCTCATTCTCTCTCATCTGCCCATTGTTACAGGACCCCTTGTGCTCCTCAACCTGGGATCTGTGTCTCCCAGGATATGTGGCAATGTGCTGAGAGAAACAGAAAGCAACAGTTACTGTGTGGCCATGAATTTTTCTCAAAGATTTTGGAAGTAAATATCATCTGGATTACATGTTAGATATTTTTATATAAAAATATCATGGATGAGCCAGGTATGGTGGCACATACCTGTAATCTCAGCACTTAGGAGGCTGAGGCAAGAGGATCACGAGTTCAACGACAGTCTGGGCTACACAGTGAGTTCAAGGCCAGCCTGAATTACAGAATGAGACCCTGTCTCAAAATATGTATATACATTATGGAGGGTTGGGGTATAGCTAAGCAGTAGAATATCTCCACCACCACCAAAAAGATAAATAAATAAAAATAAATTTCATGGTAAAGAGTACAAAAGTTGCATGTCTTTTTAAAAATTCATATCAGGTACCTTGAACATGCAATAAATGTGTAATTAGTAGTCCTGAATTGCAATATTTCAGCAAAGAGTGGTAGCACACACCTATAATCCCAACATTCTGGGAGGCTGAGGCAGGAGAATAAAGTCTGAGCCCAGCCTGGGCAATTTAGTGAGACCCTGTCTCAAAAAATAATACAAGGGCTGGGGCTGTAGCTCAGTATGAAGGTCCTGGGCCAATCCTCAGTGCTGCAAAAGAACAAAACAAAACGAAAATACTTTCAAAGACACTTGAGAATAATGTCCGATATTTCTTTTTTCGTTGTTGGTTTTTTTGTTTTGTTTTGTTTTTGGTACCGGGGATC